TTCTTCCATCGTTTCTCTTCAGGTTTGCATCCCCTCAACTTTTTAATGGATTAATAGCTTGCTGATGGGTTTCTGAGAGGTGGATGTTGATGTTGTTGAATTATCTGACAAATTTGAATGTTTTGATTAAAGAAATACATATGTTAACGCAGGAATATTAATAGTCATGCTACAATTTGTTTAAATTAACATCTAATTACCAAAAATAAAAACAAAAAATTCATGCTATAATATATGTAACACGTTGTTAATCACATCACATTATGCAAAACATGTATCCAGGTTTTGTAATAAACATTGGTTAATTAGCATGGAAATGACTATAGAAAGGGGTTGTGTATATGAGTGTGTTGTTCTGTTTTGATAAATGGGAAGGCAGCTGTGATTGGATTTCTATTGTTGTTAGATTTTGAAATTTTGACTGGTACAGGTATTCTCAAGGGAACTGACTTTTTGGACTGTATTTACTCTGTTTCCAATGCTTTGCAGTAAACATTTCTCTGAAATGAACCAAAAATTATATACACTACTTAACCCAAGCAAACAAAAGTGGGTGGTTTTATGAGTCATAATATATATATGTATATTATTAATTTGATGTTAAAGCTCCTTCAGTTTGTCATTTTGGATATCTATATAAGTGTATATGTTTGTAAATCTTTTGAGAAGTAGACCATTTTGGATCATTCTTAGGTTTTGCACTTCCTCTATCTAAAGCATCTGTAATATATAATACAATTTACATCATAGCATATGCTTTGTAATATACTTACAAAACTTGAGCCGCTCTTCTTTTAACTTGACAGATTTTCGATCTGCGAGTTCTTCCATCGTTTCTCTTCAGGTTTGCATCCCCTCAACTTTTTAACGGATTAATGGCTTGCTGATGGGTTTCTGAGCATGTTGTTGAATCCTTTGATTCCTTGCCCAAATTGATTTTGCTGCTGTGATGATATGTTGTAGTTAATATTGTTGTGGGAAAGTAAGCATGCCAATTTCAACAATTTGTAATGATTTTGCTGCTGTAATGGGTATTTAATTTGTTGTTGTGATAATAGTTTTACATGTTTATAATATCTGAGCATGTTGGTGAATCCTTCAAGGACATAAGGGCAAAAGTTTGAGTCTTTGTTTTATAATTATGTTGGATTGAAAATTCGGTGCCTTTGTTCTTTCTTGCAATTGCTTGGAAATTCAATGAAAATTTTCTTTCATTCTTTTTTTTTTTTTTTTTGTTGCAGGTTGGACCAAAATTAAGCCTTTTGTGTGATGGTTTATCATCTGATTGGGTTCTATATTTGAGCTTATGGATTGGTTCATGGTGGATTTGATTTTGCACTCAGAGTTGCTTGGGTGAAACTGATGACTCTGTGCATTGCAGTACTACAACAACAAAATGGCGGAATTACATCTATTCGTGGACTTTGAAATAGAAACAAGGTTTGCATCTTTTAATCGTCTCCACTGTATTTCAATTTCTTTCCCTTTTATTAATTTTGATTATATTTCACCCCTGTGATGGGATTGAACATGCTTTTGAATTGGTAATGGGAGTTGACTGTTTGTGCTTGAACAAAGGCTTGTCATTGGCCTTGCTGTTGTCGTGGGATAGAGCCAGCGTATATGTACAAAAAGTTACGGTATACATTATTCTCTCTCCCTCTCTTTAATTTCAGTTTTTTTTTTCTTTAATAGAATTTCGTCAAATATGTTGGTTCTGGATTTTTGTTGTTGAAGAAATATACAATAAAGGTGTTCTATGACGTTCAGTGTTCGTAAATATCTTTTGAAGAACAACACTGGATGTTGACTGACTTTGAAGGTGCTACAAGAAAAATGAAGTAAGGTTACGCATCTGGTCTAGCAAAGAGGTTTGTCAATCGTTCTCTCATCCACAATTTTTTTTTTCTTTTAATAAGTCAATTACATCTCAGCCTTAAATTCACTTTATTTTATTTTATATATTTATGTTAAATTTAATGAGAATTTCTGTTATAGAATTCTGAATTATGCAATTTTTTTTTTTCCATTTAAGGGCACTGGGATGCTTAGGGGTTCTTTTTATTCTCTTTTTCAGTGCATGTTATAACTTAGATAGGTCTGCTTTAAGAAGATTGGTTTTATGTTTTAGATGTAGTTTATTTAGTTAAATATATGGCTACTGGTGAAATGGATTAGCCAAATACTGCATATGTAATCTGCATAAAATTCTTAGCATTGTTGTAAACAATTAGTTTAAGTGGAGGATTGTTGTATGAAATTTGGTAAACAAATATCTAGAAATTAGCTTCACAGTTTCTTAGGTTCCATTTAATTTGGTTTTTGTTTTTGTGTGATATATTTCTCTTAGGGTGTGTCAAATGGTAAAGCTGCAAGCATCCATTCCACGATATAATGCAATAGACTTATTCCAAAACTTAAGTCTATTGTTTTGATTGAGTGTTTTAGTACTCATATTCAAGTCATTTTTTAATTATAAATCCCTAATTGATGATAATTCCTAATATTTTTAATTAGTTGAAATTTTTATAATGAGTTATTGGATGAATGTTGATATTTTTTTTTGTGGATAATGATATATTGGATTGGATTAATATTGATGATTTTGTGTGTGGATCATGTTTTGTTGGATTAGATGACTACGTATGATTATTTGATTTGTTGGAATTTAGGGTTTATGATTTGTTGATTAAATTTTGTGATAGACTTCTTTTCCTTTCTCTGTATGTTCATTTGTCTTAGTTAAATTTGTTTCTAAAAAAAGAAAAGATTTGTTGATTAATTGATAAGACTGTTTGGTTTGATTAATTCATGTGTATGGCAGAAAAGGTTTGAAGCTGCATTTGGAGACTCATGTGTTTGGCTTGTGAGCTTGATTTGCTTCCCTAGGTTTTAATTATCTTCCCTCTCCATCTCTGATTTTAATCTATTGGTTTAGAAAAGCTCATATTCAAGTACCTTTTAAACTCTAAATCCCTAATTGATGATAATGCCTAATATTTTTAGTTAGTAGAAATTTTTATAATGAGTTATTAGATGAATGTTGACGATTTTGTTTGTGGATAATGATTTATTGGATTGGATGAATATTGATGATTTTGTGTGTGGATAATGATTTGTTGGATTATAGATGACTATATTTGATTATGTGATTTGTTGGAATTTAGGATTTATGATTTGCTGATTAAATTTTGTGACAGACTTTTTTTTTTATTAACTTAATAATCTGTTTATCCATGATGTGTAAATAACATAATATCATATTAAAATTTTTTAAGGGGTGTTTTGAATCAAGTGCTTCCTTCAATTCTTCAGGAAGACGTCTATTTTGGTAAACTAAATTGAGTTGGAGCTTATGGGGTTAAACTTTTTGCCATATTTTTATTGCGCAGTTTCTTTTCTTATTCTTATATGCAGGAATGATTTTTATTTTTATTTTTTCAGTTCCAAACAGATTTACATTACTTTTCTCTTGCTGAAATTGTGAAATATAGTATATAGGGGAACCTAGATTAAGAAATAGCAGTTACGCATTATGCCCTTTTCATAAAACTCTGTATATTTTTCTTCTGATTTAATTTCAGGCTTCCATGAAAATTTTGATCTAGGATGCAGTGATTTGAGGTGTAACTTTGCGCTTACTAGATCTCTCAACTCAATCTTAGGTAATGAACTCTACAACCCATGTTTAGGGTTTAGGGTTTAGGCTTTTCAATACCTCTTTATTGCTTCCACTCCATGATGCTAACTTTATTTTGGTTTCTTTTGTTTTGTAGATGAAGTCGGTTTTAGCAGAACATGACTATATGTAAAGACCTATCCAAACTCTTTTGAACAATGAGCAGCTCAGTATTGTCGATATTTTGATGTTTTGACTGCTACTTGATTTATTAAAATATGGCCAATATTTTGACATGACAAACAGCATAAAAAAACATGTTATTATCCTATTTTTTGTTACTTAGACTTGCTAAACAAAGCAAGATACCACTATTTAGATCTCCATGTCAATATAAATAGTACCATTTTTCCTACATATTTTCATAACTTTGTATATATTTTACACAATTTTAAAACCCGCAGCATCGCGCGGGCATTATTGCTAGTATTGACTAAAATCAAATACAGAATGTAGATTATTAAGGAGGGAAACTTGTAACAGAAGCTTCCTGAGTTCAAAAGATCATTGAGGAACTGCATTTGTCTACAACCACAACACACAAACAAGATAAATGCAACGGATCTCCAGAACTGTTAAGGAAAAACTACCAAGGCAAAACCTTAGAAGGTGAGTTAGGGTTCAAGAGAGTTGAGTTTCATAAAGAAACATAAACTTACTAATGAATTTCCAAGTTCCAATTGAAAAATCAAATCATACAACCTAAGTTGCCTCCCGATTTTACCTCAATGAAAGCCTTTGGATCTGGGCACTTGTGTTGCTTAGATAGTCTGAGTGTGCACTCAGCAGCAGTACGCCCATCACGAAGAGCAACAGCCTTGAAAAATGACATGAGGAAGTAAATATCTTTTGAAGAACAACACTGGATGTTGACTGACTTTGAAGGTGCTACAAGAAAAAATGAAGTAAGGTTACACATCTGGTCTAGCAAAGAGGTTTGTGAATTGTTCTCTCATCCACAATTTTTTTTTTCTTTTAATAAGTCAATTACATCTCAGCCTTAAATTCACATTTTTTTATATATATATTTATGTTAAATTTAATGAGAATTTCTGTTATAGAATTCTGAATTATGCAATTTTTTTTTTTCCATTTAAGGGCACTGGGATGCTTAGGGGTTCTTTTTATTCTCTTTTTCAGTGCATGTTATAACTTAGATAGGTCTGCTTTAAGAAGATTGGTTTTATGTTTGAGATGTAGTTTATTTAGTTAAATATATGGCTACTGGTGAAATGGATTAGCCAAATACTGCATATGTAATCTGCATAAAATTCTTAGCATTGTTGTAAACAATTAGTTTAAGTGGAGGATTGTTGTATGAAATTTGGTAAACAAATATCTAGAAATTAGCTTCACAGTTTCTTAGGTTCCATTTAATTTGGTTTTTGTTTTTGTGTGATATATTTCTCTTAGGGTGTGTCAAATAGTAAACCTCCAAGCATCCATTCCACGATATAATGCAATAGACTTATTCCAAAACTTAAGTCTATTGTTTTGATTGAGTGTTTTAGTACTCATATTCAAGTCATTTTTTAATTATAAATCCCTAATTGATGATAATTCCTAATATTTTTAATTAGTTGAAATTTTTATAATGAGTTATTGGATGAATGTTGATATTTTTTTTTGTGGATAATGATATATTGGATTGGATTAATATTGATGATTTTGTGTGTGGATCATGTTTTGTTGGATTAGATGACTACGTATGATTATTTGATTTGTTGGAATTTAGGGTTTATGATTTGTTGATTAAATTTTGTGATAGACTTCTTTTCCTTTCTCTGTATGTTCATTTGTCTTAGTTAAATTTGTTTCTAAAAAAAGAAAAGATTTGTTGATTAATTGATAAGACTGTTTGGTTTGATTAATTCATGTGTATGGCAGAAAAGGTTTGAAGCTGCATTTGGAGACTCATGTGTTTGGCTTGTGAGCTTGATTTGCTTCCCTAGGTTTTAATTATCTTCCCTCTCCATCTCTGATTTTAATCTATTGGTTTAGAAAAGCTCATATTCAAGTACCTTTTAAACTCTAAATCCCTAATTGATGATAATGCCTAATATTTTTAGTTAGTAGAAATTTTTATAATGAGTTATTAGATGAATGTTGACGATTTTGTTTGTGGATAATGATTTATTGGATTGGATGAATATTGATGATTTTGTGTGTGGATAATGATTTGTTGGATTATAGATGACTATATTTGATTATGTGATTTGTTGGAATTTAGGATTTATGATTTGCTGATTAAATTTTGTGACAGACTTTTTTTTTTATTAACTTAATAATCTGTTTATCCATGATGTGTAAATAACATAATATCATATTAAAATTTTTTAAGGGGTGTTTTGAATCAAGTGCTTCCTTCAATTCTTCAGGAAGACGTCTATTTTGGTAAACTAAATTGAGTTGGAGCTTATGGGGTTAAACTTTTTGCCATATTTTTATTGCGCAGTTTCTTTTCTTATTCTTATATGCAGGAATGATTTTTATTTTTATTTTTTCAGTTCCAAACAGATTTACATTACTTTTCTCTTGCTGAAATTGTGAAATATAGTATATAGGGGAACCTAGATTAAGAAATAGCAGTTACGCATTATGCCCTTTTCATAAAACTCTGTATATTTTTCTTCTGATTTAATTTCAGGCTTCCATGAAAATTTTGATCTAGGATGCAGTGATTTGAGGTGTAACTTTGCGCTTACTAGATCTCTCAACTCAATCTTAGGTAATGAACTCTACAACCCATGTTTAGGGTTTAGGGTTTAGGCTTTTCAATACCTCTTTATTGCTTCCACTCCATGATGCTAACTTTATTTTGGTTTCTTTTGTTTTGTAGATGAAGTCGGTTTTAGCAGAACATGACTATATGTAAAGACCTATCCAAACTCTTTTGAACAATGAGCAGCTCAGTATTGTCGATATTTTGATGTTTTGACTGCTACTTGATTTATTAAAATATGGCCAATATTTTGACATGACAAACAGCATAAAAAAACATGTTATTATCCTATTTTTTGTTACTTAGACTTGCTAAACAAAGCAAGATACCACTATTTAGATCTCCATGTCAATATAAATAGTACCATTTTTCCTACATATTTTCATAACTTTGTATATATTTTACACAGTTTTAAAACCCGCAGCATCGCGCGGGCATCATTGCTAGTAATCAACTATACGTACCTTATAGACTGAGCCAAAACCGCCTTTTCCAAGCTTGTTTTCGACGGAGAAATTGTTGGTGGCTGCTGTTATGGTTGGTAGATCAAAGAATGGTAAATCTGAGTTTATTCTACTTTCATCAATTTCATCAACATCTACAGAAGAGTCTTCCAAGTAGGCTGACCCTGTAGCAAGTCTAAGTGCAAACTTATGTTGTCTTTGTTTACCTGCCATTAAATACAGTCTTATAGCATAGCCTTTTCGCCATGAACAATGTGAGAACTCAGTAACAACTGAATCATTTTCATAAACTTATGTTTATGAGACAATAACAACTGAATCATTTTCATATCTTAATGGATAGAAGGGAAATCAGAGAATGGATGTTTACCTTTTTTCTTCCTCCTTACCGTGCAATACCAAAAGAAAACTACAAGGAGGAGCACTGGAGCCAGTAGTGAAATTGCTATCTTCCCCTTTTTGCTAAGAGAACTATTTGACTTCTTTGCATACTCACCTAAAACCAAATAAAATCCAATCAGCTTATGATTAGGCATCTAACAATTTTGGTCACTACGGAATTTTTAAAGTTATATGAGATGGATGCACTTGTTGAACTGAGTAGCCTGGCATGGGTGATCCTAAAGTAAAGAGTTTCTGCACATCATTTATCAAATAAAATATAATTTATAATATTTATTTCACGCGATTAGCTCTTGAATAACTATGATCATTAATCGCGTAAAAGGGTTCTAAAAAGTCAATCTTTAAGATGAACTAGTTATGCTACGGTCAATTGTTCACCATCCTAATAGTTTCGAGCATGATCTTAGGGGGACGGGGGATACTCTATCAAAGGTAAAGTTCCTTCTCCCGCTTGTGGTTGACAGGGTGGATACAAAGGCTTGGGGAAACAGACATCCTTCCATCTATCGGAGAGCCTTTTCCAAGCAATCATGTCTCACTGCACTTGTTGCTGGAATGACCTGGAATAATTACTCCGGTAAAAACTGTTGGCGGTATTGTACAATTAGAAGGTATTTCCTCTAGCAGGAAACATATATATAGTCCCTGTAGAATCTGTATTGGGGAAGACGAGTTAACCAACATATTCAGAGAAGTATGAGAAAGAGATCTGAAGAAGAAGAGGGAAAGATAAACAGAGAGAAATTGCAATCTTGATTTCTGTATTGCTTAATTGCCTTTTAGCTATAGCACTATTACACTTTATACCTGTAAAGCAGGGCTTAACCGTCTAACGAATCCAGCCATCTGACTTCCTCACTACTAACAACTCACGTGCTTTGCACACCTAACTCACTAACTGTTTAACAGTTCATATTTTTTCTACCCTATTACATTCCCTAATCGAAGATGAGTACAATGCTGTGAAAATATAGGACAGTAAACCTCCAAGCATCCATTCCACGATATAATGCAATAGACTTATTCCAAAACTTAAGTCTATTGTTTTGATTGAGTGTTTTAGTACTCATATTCAAGTCATTTTTTAATTATAAATCCCTAATTGATGATAATTCCTAATATTTTTAATTAGTTGAAATTTTTATAATGAGTTATTGGATGAATGTTTATAATTTTGTATGTGGATAATGATATATTGGATTGGATTAATATTGATGATTTTGTGTGTGGATCATGTTTTGTTGGATTAGATGACTATGTATGATTATTTGATTTGTTGGAATTTAGGGTTTATGATTTGTTGATTAAATTTTGCGATGGACTTCTTTTCCTTTCTCTGTATGTTCATTTGTCTTAGTTAAATTTGTTTCTAAAAAAAAAAAAAGATTTGTTGATTAATTGATATGACTGTTTGGTTTGATTAATTCATGTGTATGGCAGAAAAGGTTTGAAGCTGCATTTGGAGACTCATGTGTTTGGCTTGTGAGCTTGATTTGCTTCCCTAGGTTTTAATTATCTTCCCTCTCCATCTCTGATTTTAATCTATTGGTTTAGAAAAGCTCATATTCAAGTACCTTTTAAACTCTAAATCCCTAATTGATGATAATGCCTAATATTTTTAGTTAGTAGAAATTTTTATAATGAGTTATTAGATGAATGTTGACGATTTTGTTTGTGGATAATGATTTATTGGATTGGATGAATATTGATGATTTTGTGTGTGGATAATGATTTGTTGGATTATAGATGACTATATTTGATTATGTGATTTGTTGTAATTTAGGATTTATGATTTGCTGATTAAATTTTGTGATAGACTTTTTTTTGTTTAACTTAATAATCTGTTTATCCATGACGTGTAAATAACGTAATATCATATTAAAAAAATTTAAGGGGTGTTTTGAATCAAGTGCTTCCTTCAATTCTTCAGGAAGACGTCTATTTTGGTAAACTAAATTGAGTTGGAGCTTATGGGGTTAAACTTTTTGCCATATTTTTATTGCGCAGTTTCTTTTCTTATTCTTATATGCAGAGATGATTTTTTTTATTTGTTTTTCAGTTCCAAACAGATTCACATTACTTTTCTCTTGCTGAAATTGTGAAATATAGTATATAGGGGAACCTAGATTAAGAAATAGCAGTTACGCATTATGCCCTTTTCATAAAACTCTGTATATTTTTCTTCTGATTTAATTTCAGGCTTCCATGAAAATTTTGATCTAGGATGCAGTGATTTGAGGTGTAACTTTGCGCTTACTGGATCTCTCAACTCAATCTTAGGTAATGAACTCTACAACCCATGTTTAGGGTTTAGGGTTTAGGCTTTTCAATACCTCTTTATTGCTTCCACTCCATGATGCTAACTTTATTTTGGTTTCTTTTGTTTTGTAGATGAAGTCGGTTTTAGCAGAACATGACTATATGTAAAGACCTATCCAAACTCTTTTGAACAATGAGCAGCTCAATGTTGTCGATATTTTGATGTTTTGACTGCTACTTGATTTATTAAAATATGGCCAATATTTTGACATGACAAACAGCATAAAAAAACATGTTATTATCCTATTTTTTGTTACTTAGACTTGCTAAACAAAGCAAGATACCACTATTTAGATCTCCATGTCAATATAAATAGTACCATTTTTCCTACATATTGTGGGAGCTCAAGGTCTTCAATGGTGGAAATCTCTTCCACTTCTTGCTTTGTTGCCCTTGTCTTCCTCCTTAAGCTCCCTAGCTCTAAGCTTCATCTCCAGCTCCAAAATCTCTGCAAATTGTGGAATAATAGAATGCCCCCACGTTCAATAGCCCTTTCATTTCAGATTGCACTCTCTTGCCCATCATTTCCAGCTCATACTTTTAATATAAAAGTCTTGTTTTTGTTAAAGCCTTTGCCTTTGTCCCCTTGTCATGATGGGTTCTTTTGTTATTGTCTTCACCAAGATGCTCTTTGTTTCAGATAATATCTCTCAACCAAAGTAATTTTTTGTTACCAAGTGTTATGGTAACAAGAAGAATCAAGATAACATTATGGAGGTAAAAGCTGGAGCACTTCGGATTTCCAGAGCTGTGGTAACATGCTGGATTGGTTGAATAGGAAATACTTGTCCAATGGAGCTCAAATTTGGATATGTTGTAGTTAACATCCATTGGAACAAGTTTCATGAAGATCTTCACCCCATCCGAGCACCAGAGCATGTTGATCCCAGGCCAAGAAGTTGACCTACGAAAATGAACAAAAACAGAATTTATAACCAATAATGCACTTTTAGCTCATTTTCATTCTAACCAAGGTAAAATCTAAGAAAACACAAAAAGGAAGTAAAAAGCTATAAAATGTCAAGAACTAACTCAAAATAATAGGTGAATAACATGAAAAATCATGTGTAAAAATGAACCGAACAGGATTAGGTAGAAAGAATTTCAAATCTTGCAGAACTTGTCTGATCCAGGCAATATCTGCAGCAGTGTTTGCCAAAGCTCTATACTCTACCTCTGTTGAGCTTCTGGAGACTAAGCCCTACTTTTTGGACCGCCAAGACATGCGATTATTTCCTAAGAACACTACAAAACCTGTGGTAGATCTTCTAGTGTTGATGTCTCCAGCCCAGTCGGCATCACTATAGGCAGACAGCTGCCAAGGATCACTTGCTGTAGGGCTGGTACTAGTAAACCTAATCCCAAAGTTCAGAGTACCTTGAACATATCTTAAGATTCTTTTAACTAGAAACCAATGATCATCAGTAGGACTATTCATATACTGACAGACTTTGTTTACTGCATAGGCCAAGTCAGGTCTTGTGAATGTTAAATACTGTAAAGCCCCAACGACACTCCTAAACACGGTGGGATCAGATAACAGCTCACTACTGTCTTTCAGAATTTGATTCTGAGGTTTACAAGAAGTTGAACAGGCTCTACAGCAGTGCATCCTAACTTTATGCAAAAGATCCTTAGCATACTTTGTTTGACTCACAAACAAACCTCCTGAGATAGGATATGCAATCTGCAATCCCAAGAAATAGGCAAGGCGACCCATGTCTTTCATTTCAAATACTGAACTCAAGTTGTCAACCACAGTTTGTACCAAATCTGCATTAAAACCAGTCAATATAATGTCATCAACATACAACAACAACAACACTATAACATTTGAACCTTCGAGTTTTACAAACAGACTCGAATCAGAATGCGATAATTTGAAACCAAGGGCCGGTAAATATCCTGTAAATTTAGCATTCCAAGCTCTTGGAGCTTGCTTCAAACCATACAAGGATTTCTTGAGCTTACACACATATTCTGGATAAGCAGGATCTTCATACCCGTGTGGTTGGTGCATAAACACCTCCTCCTCTAAATCTCCATGGAGGAAGGCATTCTTCACATCTAGTTGCCTTAACGACCAGTGATTCATAGCAGCAAGACTTCAAATCAACCGAATTGTGGTATGCCGCACGACAGGGCTAAACGTTTCTCCAAAATATAATCCCGGTTGTTGCCTAAATCCTTGATCAACCAGCCTTGCTTTATATCTTGCAATAGAGCCATTTGAATTCTTCTTTATTTTATACAGCGATTTACTACCAACAATTTCTTGCTGCCAGGATTAGGCACCAAACTCCAAGTACCTTGTAACTGAAGGGCATCTATTTCTTCCTGCATAGCTTGCCTCCATTCAGCTGAGTAAGAAGCCACTCTATAACTACAAGGTTCACCTAGCTCAACATTTACTGTTAAACAGGTGAAATAGCCTTGATACTCTTGAAACTGTTTTGGTTTAACGATACCAGCCTTGGATCTAGTTTGTATAGCATGAGTGTTGACTGGTTCTGGAGTAGGAGAAGGGCGAAGAGAGGAAGGTGCTTCATAAGGTAGTGTCACTTGTAATTGTTGATCACTAAATACTGGTTGATAATTCGCAGACTATGATGAGGAAGACGCAGGTGACATGGAAGCATTGCTAGGAATAGCTTGAGCTGGAACGAAGCTAGAGCTTAAGGGAACTTCATCCTTATATAAATCATTAACTGCATGCTGTGAATCTTGATGGGATTGAGATGGTAGAGAAATTATAATAGGAGATGTATTCACAACAGAAGACTGCCTAGGAGTAGTGGAGGGCACACACGGATAGATAGACTTGTCATGAATTACATGCCTAGAGAGCATACATTTTCCAGTAGCACAATTGTAGCCAATAACCCCTTTATATCCTGTGGCATATCCTAGAAACACACACTAAGCAGTTCGAGGTTGTAACTTGTGCACATTGTAATGGCGAAGATATGGATATACAGCTGTACCAAAAATTCTCAAGGAGTGAAGAGTAGGGTTCGTACCAAATAATTGAAAATATGGAGCTTGATTATCCAAAGCAAAACTAGGCATTCTATTTATTAAATAAGCAGCATGAGCAGTAGCATGAAACCAAAACTTCCCTGGTAATGATGCTTTAGTCAAAAAAGTAATAGTTGTTTCGATAACGTGCCTATTCTTCCTTTCTGCCATCCCATTTTGCTAGGGTATGTATGGGCAAGACACCTTATGGAGAATACCTTTTGATGACAGAAACTAAGAAAATAGATGGCTAATATATTCGCCACCCCCATCACTTTGTAAGCACTGAATAGTTGCCTTGAACTGATTATGAACATATACAATGAAATAAAGAAACTTAGAGAAAACTTCTGATTTATTGAATAGTGGAAAAAGCCACAAGTAACCAGTACATTCATCTAGAAATGATACAAAGTACCTATAGCCATCTAGAGACTTGAAGTGGGAAGGACCCCATACATCACTATGGATTCTAGAAAAAGGAATCCTAGTTTTAACATGTGACTCTGTGAAAGGCAGCTTGTGCATTTTCCCATGAAGGCAAGAAGAACAAATCACACCTGATTCATCATTTAGAGACCCTAACTGTGAATTCTTGAGCATCATTTTGACTACGGCATTGGTAGGATGACCAAGTCTTCGATGCCACAAAGAGGAACTAACCTTCTGTCCAAGAAAAGCCATTGCCTTGGGCTGTGAAGGCTGAGTCAATGTACATGGGATAGGGTAGATACCATTACGGTTCGGGGAGTAACCTGAATTTCCAAACCTTCACCATTTCCCACTGTAACCTATTCTGCATATTCACAAGGAGTAACCTGATGCAAAGATGAAACATCTGCGACCATATGATGAGATGTGCCACTGTCTGCAATCCAGACATGATTAGGCATATAAGAGCTCTGTGCAGTCATAGCTGAGAGCTTGGAAGATGGAGGTTGCCCCTGATAGGAGTAATTGGATATCTGGAAACAATCAAGAGCTCCATGACCCCTCTTGCCACAGATCTAGCATTCAATCACTTGTGCAGAGCCCTGAGCGGGAGAGGCATCATGCCTAAAATAGCAGTTGACAGCGGTATGGCCACGCTTGCAACAAATCTGACATTCAGGGACAATGTTGCTCTTATGAAAGGAGTTAGAACCAAACTTGGAGCCAGATACCTGGGAGCCAAACATTGGAGAAGATGCAAATACTGGTTTACCAAAATCCCCATTAGAAAACTTTCCTCTACCAAAGCCATTAAACCCATTATACATCATAGAACCTGTAAGATCCCACATCGACCAACGGAGAGGGGGTGATGTGCCTTATATGTGCACACCCGCATCCATCTAGCACGAGGCCTTTTGGGAGCTCACTGGCTTCGGAGTCATGGGAACTCCGAAGTTAAGCGAGTTGGGGGCGAGAGCAATCCCAGGATGGGTGACCCACTGGGAAGTTGGTAGTGAGCTCCCAGAAACAAAACCATGAGGGCCAGAGAGGGGGGGCCCAAAGCGGACAATATCGTGCTACGGTTGAGCCGATCCGGGATGTGACAGAACCACTCGAACCAGAATATCGATTATGAGTATTAGAAGCATATAAAAAGCAACTGTTGAACCAGAAGGGGTCGGAAGTATACCTATACCATTAGATAGAGAATGATGCATAGGAGCATACCCAGTGGAAGAAGAAGCCATAGAATTATACCCATATGAAGGATGGTGAGAGGTAAGCATAGCAGAGTGGGTCAAGATTCGTGCTTCAGCAGTTTGTTCAGCTGCGAGCAATTCAGAACTCCTTCAAAGAAATGAAGGAATCCCTTGCAATCAAGACAGTCATGATCTGTCACGCCCCGGACCCGGGGGTTGGTGGAAACCCCGCGCCCGGTGCGTGATAAAATAAAAACTAAAATAAAATTTAAAAAAATGGCAAAACATGGTTTAAAATGAACTTCTCTTAAAAAAGAAAAATAAAAAATAGATCCGAAATCTTACAACTTTACAAGAAATAAATAAAGCTCTACTCTCTCATCTAATTCAGCCTCAACTGGTTTAGTCCTTGTCTTGCTCACTAATTCATCTGTTAAAATTAAACAGGGTGAGGGATGAGCAACCACCGCTCAGTGAGTAGATTATGTAATATGTCAGTCAAGTAATGCCTTTTTACACACTCTAGAAAATATCATGAAAAGATACACCAATCCAGATCATATCACATCATCCCTTCATATCTCGGTTATCCTTCATAGCATGTAACCAACCACGTGACCCTTATTGGTCTCACTGCCCTATGTCCCCGTGTGGTACATCTATCCCTTGGATACTCCAACATTGAAGTTCTCATGTTCCATGAATAATACATACTTCATAAATATTCCAATCAATATATATATGTAGTGAAAGATTGCACCAAATTAGACATGCTTGACTTGAAATAGAGAGATATTTGTAAATAGAACAAATCCACGATACTTCATGGTTTTCATATTTTATCACAAAATAAGAACTTTTAGAACACATTACATAAACCACTCACCTCGATAATGAGAGCCCTTAAAATAAATTGACAAGACAACCCATCTACCTATCTTCATATACTATCACTCAAAGCAAGCTCCAAGAATTTCATCACCACTCTCTCTCCTTCTTTCTCTCTTACTTTTTCTCTCTGTTTCTTTCTCTCTTCGCATTCATTCTTATGCAAGTTCTTAATGTAGAAGGTTTCCTATTTAAAGAACAAGAGAGGCGGCAAACCAATGTTCACTTATTGGCTGGCAACAAACTTGTTATCCAAGTTTTGGATAACTACATCAAACCAATGACGATAAGATATACAAAATATCTTCCATATTCTAATATTTATGATAGCCACTTGTAAGTCAATTACTATATTAGCATGTGCTAAAGCCACCTCTTACTTATAATATTATAAATTAAACATTTAATTTATATATACTAGCCTCTCTGCACGCGCTTCCGCACCTGCGAGAGGCTTTTTTTTAAAAAAATTAAATTTATTTTAGAATTAAAAAGGAGAATGGGTAGTTGTGTTCCATAAAAATAGGATCCATTATCTGATTTTTCTTTTAATTTTATTTTGTTTAAATATGAAAAATATGAATTTACCATATTATCCTCATTTAATTAATAATTTCAATTCTTAATGCTTGCATTAACCAAGGGCATTTTATGGTATTTTGAATGTTTCACCATTCTCTGCATTTTGCTTTATATATACTAGCCTCTCTGCACACGCTTCCGCAT